CCAAGCGCTGCCAAAAAACACAAAAAAGTCAGAAAATAGTGAAAATAGCAAAAGGTCACGCTGGGGCTTGAATCCATGACCTAAGGGTGACAGGCGCGCGCTTTAACCACTGAGGTGGTGATACATCCGTTAACTTGTGTGAAAGGATAAATATATAACACAAAATGCGCCTTGATTACACTTCATCTTCAACCTCCAGCCAAAGGATCTGTAACTTGCTCATTTCTCAACCATTTGCAAAAATGTAAACATACAAATTGCTCCATTTTGTCACACGAATCCAACCATATAAATATCATAAGCTATAAATCAAAGATGAATGAGAATTTCTAAAAGTACCAAATTCTGACCTAAATAGTTTAGAAAGTTTAAACTCAAAATTCTCCTAGCTCAATCAAAATAAATGAAATCTATGGACATGTATAGTTTCAGGGAAATGATGTCTACATTTTATCTTCACAAATGCAAGCCTAATAATGCCTAAATATGAAGATAGAAGTTCAATAAAGATACCTCAAAACTGGAAATCATGAAATGGATTTGAGCTTGTTTCAGGCAGTGTGATGATCAGGTTAGCTTCCTTGGACCTCTAGGAAGCTAATGCAATGCTTAGCTTGAGTTGAGAGTGGTTGAAATGGCCTGGAGAAGTCCAACTGCAATGCTCTGTTTTTGGCTATGGAAGTTGATGAAAATGATGTTACAATATGCAAACAGGGACAAGGATGGTTTATATTTGATATGAGGAAGCTCTTGAAACTAAAAGGCCAAGAAATGAACGGGTGGTTTTGAAGATTGAAGTTCAAAGTCAGAAATGACACAAAAATGGAGGTTTTGTGCAATCTGAGTTTTCAGGGAGTTTTTGGAGTGTTTTCAATCGTGTGTTATGTTGCAATATACTTGTGCATAAGTAAGGAAAAGGTTAGAGTACTTGAGGAGGTCAGAAGCACAAGATGTGGAGTTATGGTTATGTTACTTGATTTTGAAGAGAAGTGAAAACATGGTTTCAAGGCATAGTACAAGCATGACCTAAGTTTATGGGAGGCTCTAGATATGTTGCTTTTTCCTTTGACATTGCTTGTGATCAGAAGGAACACAATTCCAAGTGCAGTTGATTTTTCCACATCAACATTATAAACTCATATGTATCATTTGATCAAGTTTATAATGTTGCTTTTTCCCCAACACAGTTGATTTTTAGGTCAACTACTCAATTGACTGAGCAAAAGTGTGATCCAAGGCTTGAAATTTGACATGAGTAATCATGGGGGTCCATAATGATCCATGAAAGTCATATGAAGCATTGAAAATTCAATTATCCTTGTGCAATCTCAAACCCTAATTTTGGTCATCAGTGCTTAAGGAGGTGTCTTGAGCTGATCAACCCAAGTGCAGTCTTGGACCAAGAGAAATCTTTGTGAGAAAATATTTGATGAATGAGAGGGAAAATTTTAGGGTACAACAATATCTTACCACTGCTTGTGGGTATTTATCATCCATGCACTCTAAAAAACAACTCAACAACCACTTATAGGTCTCTGTTGTTTCATTTGATACCAGTGCAACACCAAAAATAATTGTCTGAGAGTGGTGGTTACACCCTGAAAATATAACCAATGAGTAGATGGCTTTATATTTAGATAATTTAAATATGCGACAACGTCACCATCTTTAATAATAGCACGCGTCTTTTATCAAAATAATTATACAAATCTTTCTTTATAAACCCAACACCAACGTATCCACCCTTTTGAGCAACCATGTACCCCCATTATATGACAAGTTCTAATTCAATGTGACTGAATAACACTACAAGAAAATTAGTGTTTAACGACACAAAAATTGCGACAGTTATGTGATAACTGTCGCAATTGACATATAGAGACAGTGTTTACGACAGTTGACACCAACCGTCCCTAATATTTATTTTGCGACGGTATATTTAACCATCATAATATTATTATTACGACGGTAAAACAACCGTTGGCCCCCATTTAACACTTTTAACATTGATTTTTCACCAACAACTAGTCACGACGGTAAAATTAACCGTCCTAAAAGGCATATCACGACGGTAAAGCACCCGTCGCACCCTTAAACCTTTCACGACGGTAAAATTATCCGTCCTAAAATTCATTTCACGACGGTAAAACAACCGTCGCACCCTTAAACCTTTCATTTGAGTTTGAATATATTGAATTGATGTTAGGTTTTCTAATTTGTTGTTTTAGGGTTTTATTTTTTTTAATGATTTTTTAGGATAATATTTGGTTAGGATAAAATATGTATCGTCCCTTATCCATTCTATGATACTGAATTTTGTCCAAACTCAAGCCATAAATCTTCCAACAACAACCGATAACATCATCATCATCATCAATGACAACCTTTTCAACTGAATTCTTATCACACACTCTCAATTTCAGAAACCACCCAAACCGCACTTCTCGCCGTTCAAATCCCAACACTATCGTCACTTCCTCAACCCCGGGCAACACCAACAACCGAAGAACAAGAATCAGGGTCAATGAAACAAGGCCAAAACTTGATCAAGATTACGATGAAGCTCTCATTAGGTCATTCAAATCAGCTAAGTACAATCGAGCTCCCCGCTTTCTTAAGCGCATGGTTGACAGAGGTTATAAACCTGATGCCATTCTCTGCCATTCTCTTCATCATCTTCCTCTCCATCTTTGATATTTCACTTTTCTTTATAACTGAGCAGAGATTTCTGAGTTTAGTTTCTGTATCATCTATTCTTTTTTAGCCACTATCCATGTTTTAGCCCTTTTCATTAAACTAGCCTTCATTGTTTTCTTAAGCGCATGTTGTTACTGCCTCTATTGGTTGCTTTGCCAGGCTTGAATATAGTCGAGAGCCGAAAAACACTGGCTGTGGAGCACTATGTTGAGTACTGTGCTGTGAGCTGCAGAGCTTACAGTGCCTCAGTGACGGAGTTTGGAGCGGTTGGCGATGGACAAACTTCGAACACGCAGGCCTTTCAGACGGCTGTAGATCATCTGAGTCAGTACTCGTCGAACGGCGGGTCTCAACTTTATGTTCCACCAGGAAGATGGTTGACTGGTAGTTTCAATCTCACCAGTCATTTCACTTTGTTCCTACACAAAGATGCAGTCATTCTTGCCTCTCAGGTTTGATTATTAGCTTAACTAGTCTTGTACATCTATATGAATATGCAAATGTGATGTAATTGAAGTGCTTTGAATGTTGATATTATGTTCGTGATGTGACTTTTTAGGACGAAAGTGAGTGGCCGGTGATTGAGCCCTTACCGTCTTATGGTCGAGGGAGGGACACTCAAGGCGGACGATATAGCAGTCTAATTTTTGGAACCAACCTCACTGATATAGTCATAACAGGTAACTTATAAGATCGATGATTGTTGTCAGTTTGCCTGCTATTTCTGTGTAATCGAAGATTGAACTGTACAATCCGGTTATGCTTTTGGGAACTAAAATTCGGTTGCTTTAACTATGAATTTGAATAGGGGACAATGGAACATTAGATGGACAAGGTGAAGTGTGGTGGCAAAAGTTCCATAAGGGGGAGCTTAGCTATACCAGGCCTTACCTGATTGAAATCATGCACTCAGATGATATTCAGATATCGAATCTGACTTTGGTTAATTCTCCATCCTGGAATGTTCATCCTGTTTATAGCAGGTTCATCTTTTTCTCTTTGTGGTGTCTGTTATCAATTATCAATCTGCTACATTATTGTTCTGAGTTTTCTGATATAAAGAAATTGAATGCAGCAACATTGTTGTTCGAGGCATCACAATTCTCGCTCCTGTGAATTCGCCAAATACAGATGGGATCAACCCTGGTAAGTTAAGTTAGTATATACATCTTTTTCAAGATGCTGCGATGTATAGTCTAGTATATCCAGGACTGATTGTGGTTTATGGTTTATGGCACAGACTCTTGCATGAACACGCGGATTGAGGACTGTTATATAGTGTCCGGGGATGACTGTGTGGCTGTGAAAAGTGGTTGGGATGAGTATGGTATAGCTTATGGAATGCCAACTAAGCAGCTGGTGGTTAAAAGACTCACTTGCATTTCTCCAACCAGTGCTGTGATTGCTTTAGAAGATTAGCACTAACACCTCATGTCTGAAGAGGCATTCATAAGTAATACATGCTCGGAATTCAGTGCAGGGGAAGGTCACTGTGCATACTTTTGCTAGCATTTCTTCTTCAAATAGTCAGGAAACAACATCAGTGAGAAGGCTTATGAGGTAACTCTATCTATCTATCTGTTGATGTGTTTATCTGAATTTCATGTGTTTGATAGTGCGCATCGATGATTGTTATATATCTTCAGTGTAACTTCTTTGATTTCCTCAGGATGGAAGAACAATGGTGGAGAGTAAGACAACAGACCTGAGATCTCAAGGACTTCGTTGAATCCTTAAAGTCGGTATTGTGTTTACAAGATATTGTCTCTTTTAAATATTGTGTGATACTTCAAGGACTTGTTGAATCCTAAATTGATCGTGTTGAATTGTTGTTTTGGTGGTAGTTAAAATAAAAGCTTGAAGTTTGGTATTTTATTTGAAGGAAGGTTTCATCACAACATTTGGACCACCATTCATTTAATGGAAAGAAATATTTTTGATATTCCAATGTCAATATTCATAGGCAATCCCAAGATTCATATATACTTTTTTTTTGTAGTTAATGTTTGTGTTTGAATTTCAAATTGCTAAACAGTAATACCTTTCTTGAGTATGTGGAATTAAAGTTCCTTTCTTCCGTTACCTTTTCCAAACCTACTACCTTAGGCAAACACAACTAAAAGCAACTACTCATATAATGAAATTGGTCTATATTGTAGTTATAATTTTTCAAAAGAAAATATTTTCTAGTGCTTTTGATTTTGATATTGGTTTGATTTTGTTGATTGATTACTTCATCCTAAATCTTAAGGATTACAACTCTATGGTCAAACAATGTTGATGTGATTTTTTTTCCATTCTAAATGGTTGATCAAATTGAGTCATGTTCGCCTAATACATTGGTACAATGTCGAATATGTCACGATGAAGATGAAGACTTAAACATGGATACACCTTGTTCTTGTTCTGGTACATTGCAGTATGCTCATAGAATATGTGTGCAAAGATGGTGCAATGAGAAAGGTGATACTACTTGTGAGATTTGCCAACAGGTCTGCACTTTGTTTCTATTGTCTTACTCAACATATAAGTTATTCAAATTTGTACGAAAAAAATGCTTAATTATGTTCCCCTCTATTTTGTTGATTGTGTGTTGAATGCAGCAATTTAAAGGCTACACTGCTCCTCAAGCTCCTTTGTTTCACTATAGGTATTTAATTATTTATTCTTTAGTTAATTTCCTTTTCTACGGATCAAATGATGATAGAAGATTGTTAATTATCTTTCAGGGGCAACTGGGAAATTCCAAGAGTTGGTTTCAATAATCATCAGTTCATAGCATTGTTTCATGCTAATCATGAATTTCTAGACTTTAATTTTGAATATTCAGCTCCCTCTACAAGGAGCCGCGTGTTCATTCGCATTGTTGCCATCATTGTAATTTCCATTTGCTCCCGTTACCTCTATGTTTTACTAAATTTGGAATCTTTGTATATTCAAGCTATTCAAGTTTACTACTGTGCATACTTTTGCTAGCATTTCTTCTTCAAATAGTCAGGAAACAACATCAGTGAGAAGGCTTATGAGGTAACTCTATTTATCTATATGTTGATGTGTTTATCTGAATTTCATGTGTTTGATAGTGCGCATCGATGATTGTTATATATCTTCAATGTAACTTCTTTGATTTCCTCAGGATGGAAGAACAATGGTGGAGAGTAAGACAGCAGACCTGAGATCTCAAATCAGGCGAAAAGGTGACACAAACCAAGCTTCAAGTATAAGGAATCCATGGCAGCAATCAGATCAGACACAGTCTCATTCTAATCATGAAACACAACTTAAGCAATCCCGAGACGTAAGGTGCCAACTGTGTAATCATGTATAATGGTTGCAGTCTCGTTAGTTGTTATAGTGTAGGCATAGATGATAGAACATCTTATAATGATTTTGGAATTGTTAATACATTTTAACTTAGTAGAATCTGTTCTTAGTCCCTCTCATGTGATGAATTTAAATTTAGTTCACATATGGAACATACATATTCTACTATCCAAGTTATGTTAAATTCTTATGTAACCAAACAAGCTACATTTTCTTTTGTTTTGATTTCAGGTGGCATTGGCAACAGCAGCAAAATTTATAATGCTGGTATGTTTTCTACAACAACATTTGTTGAACACTACAACACTATGGTATAGTTTTTTGACTAAATAATTATGGTATGCCAGAATATATTTGTTGCAGGAACAGACACAAGCACGTACACACTAGAATGGGCAATGGCAGAGTTAATGCACAATCCAGAAATCATGTCAAAAGTACAAAATGAACTCGAACAAGTTGTTGGCAAAGGTATTCCAGTCGAAGAAACAGACATAGCCAAATTACCATACATGCAAGCAGTTATAAAAGAGACGTTTCGTGTACATCCACCAGTTCCTTTATTACTACCTCGCAAAGCAGAAACAGATGTTGAAATTGGTGACTACATTATTCCAAAAGATGCACAAGTTTTGGTTAATGCTTGGGTTATTGGCAGAGATCCAAGTAAATGGGAGAATCCTAATGCTTTTGTGCCGGAGAGATTTTTCAATAGTGAGATTGATTTTAAAGGACATCATTTTGAGCTTATTCCATTTGGGTCTGGTAGAAGAATTTGTCCTGGTTTGCCTTTGGCTATTAGAATGTTGCCTTTGATGTTGGGATCTTTGGTTAATTGCTTTGATTGGAGACTTGAAGATGGATTGAATGTCGATGATTTGAATAAGGAAGATGAGTATGGGATTACCTTGGAAAAATCTCAACCTGTGAGAATTGTTCCAATCAAATTGACTAAGCAATAATTTAGAATATATGCACGGTTCTTTCATGATGCAGCGGTTTGTAAACTCTTGATGTTGTCTGACCAAACAATACTGTTCTCTGTCAATGGAACTAGGATTTGTGGTCGTGCCATCATTTTACTTACTATAAGAACTAGTTATAAATAATGTGTAATTTGTTTTTGTTTTAATTTGGTGAATGGATATGGTCTTCTTCATAGAGTAAATTTAGGTTCTATTATGTTATTTGAATAAGTCACACTGTTATGGTCCTGGGAGGATCATGGGTTCAGTTTAGGTTATCCTAGTTTATAGGATTTGTTTGTTTCGATTTTCTAGGCACCTTCTATCCGTTTTATTAGGCACTATCTAGTGCATTCAGTTTCTTTTGCAGTTTCCTTTGTAAGGCTATTTATAAGCCATGATTCCTATTAATATATAAGTGAGAGAGAATAATGATTACTTTGGCAGGGTGATGGATAATAATTTAAATAAAAAATATATATAATAGAAAAATAAAAAAAAATCAAGACATAAACAAAAGTCATGGCGACAGTAGCGAACCGTCGTAATTAACAATTAAAAATAATTAACAAAAGTCATGACGGTATCGAACCGTCGCCATAAACAATTTAATCAATTTCAAAAGATATTCACGACAGTATCGAACCGTCGCCATCAATAATTAAAAGAAACTCAAAAGATAGTCACGACGGTATCAACCCGTCGTAAACTTGAACGACAGTTTTTGTAACCGTCGCGAAATAGGTTGGGGACACACACTTCTGCGACGGTAAAGCAACCGTCGTGGAAAGCAAATTGCGACGGTTTTAACCGTCGTAATCTACAAAAATACCTGTCGCAATCTGCCAATTTTCTTGTAGTGTAACATCAATATGAGCTTTATCCGCTTCATAAATTTGACAATAAATGGGGTGTAAGTGCACAAACCTAGATGAGGTTAATTCATGGTTATGACCCTCCTCAAAAACTGACACTACATATATACCCGTTTTGGCTTTTTAGTGCACACGAAGCCTAGTTGTGAATTTAATACGGGTCAAACGCATGTGATCTCTTTTCCTATCTAAACTACTTAAGTGTTTATTCTCTCTTGAACCATGCTTGTTGCATACAAACTGCCTCATTATTATTTTACTACCTTCAGACCCTCTTCTCCTAATATCACTTTTCCTAATGGCAAAACCCTTGCATCTTCCATACTTATAATAAAAATCATAAGCTTCATCAATAGAACTAAATACCATAGCACGAATTTCATAAGAAGTCATGGAATTAATACTTACCACTTTATCGCCTACAACTACATCTAATTCAATTGAATCATCTTCATGGTCAATATCAGCATCAGCGACATCATCATCTGAGCTTTGATAATTGTCACCCTCATCATCATTCAATTCAACATCAAAAGAAGTATTACCATCAGTCGAATAAACTTCATTGGAATCAACCTCAAATGAATCATCTGAGTTTTCCATCGTAAACCTGAATTAAAAACAATTTTTAACACAGCAAAATCAGAATCATTAAATTTGAAAAACGTATACAAAAAACAAATTCAGGCACATTCCATAATTCCCAAATCGAAATACCCATATACATAAAACAAATTTAGGCATAAACCCCAATTCCCATATTAAAATTAAATGTAATACCCCAATTCGATATCATTAGATCTTAGTAACTAATATCAAATAAATCTAACAAACATTTTTCGTATTTACCTTAGCAATTCTCTTTTCAATATGAACACAAACAAACTATGTTCTCAAACTATGATTTGCAGATATTTTGTGGTGGACGAACAATGGCGGACGCGGCAAGTAGTTTGTTGAACTCTGTTCTCAAACTATTTTCAACTCAGTTCGTTGGACAATGGCGGATTATTTATGAACTTCGTACAAACAACAACGGCGGTTTGAGTGCGAAAAGAGTTGAGGTTGAGTTGGTAGAAGAGAAAAGAGAATGATGAAGTTTAAATTTTTTTGGACTTTTAATTGATTTTCAATTTAACAATTAAAATTATAACAATTTAAATGATTGATTTTCAAATTATTAATTTTGTCATTTTTAATATGATAGGGACTTGATTGCAATATTAATAAAAATGAGAGTACATAATAAGAACTATGTATAATATAATCATATGTGGCATTGATTAAGTTAGGGCTTGTTTCTCATTGGTCAGACTAATAACTTCACCAAAGAAGCCATTTTAGTGACTTCAGCATAAAATTAACCTTTTTATAACGCAGATACTTCACTATAACACATGGACCAGTCTTACCAAGTAGCTAACTGAATATACAAAATTACGAAGGGTGTAGAAGGTAAATTTTTAGGTTACATCCTAACCTCCTAAAAGGTACAAAATATTTTCCAACCCTCAGAACAACATACCCAAAAAAAGAAGATAAAAATAGATATAAAACAGAACCAGGTATTTTGCATGTTCAGTTAACTGAAGCTAGAATATAAAGCACTGCTTAGGAAAGGCAACACCTTTAAAGTGGGTAAGATGACTCTGTCGTTATTTCCTGTATTGTTGGATAACCCACAAAATATCAGCTGATAGCATATACTCCCTGGGCGTTCTTGTATTAGGGTCTTCGGATTCAATCCCTTCTAAATATTCTAACAGTGCCAAGAGTGATACACTCTTCAAAGAACTCACAGATATAGTATCTGACAAATCACCAATGGATATTACTAAACGTGATACCACATCTCTACTATAACAACCAAACATAAGTTGTTGAATGAAGCATGGGTAGGTGTATAAAGGAACCTGCAACAAAATAGCATTGTCAATAAAATGTATACTATCAACCTCAAGAAAGTATTCTCTTTCCCACTAATTAATGGTTCACATACTGATACCAGCCCTTTGACAGCATTTACCCATGCTTCAACATCTCTTTCTTTAGGGTTTTTCTGCAAACGGAAAGCATTTGGGTAACACAACAATTGAACCTGAGATAATAGAGATGTAGAATTTGCAACTGCTTATAGTACCTCAATTTTACAACAACTATTGGAAATTAAAATAATTAATTCTGCATTTTCCATTAATTCTGCATTTTCTAAGTAGTGAATTCATTGCATACTAGGTTCTATGTATTATTTTAATTTTTTTCTTGTAAGTTGCACATAATTATTTATTATTCTTGTAAGTTGTAAAAAAATAATTATAAATTAAGCTTATGTTGAGAGCAATGTATCTTAAGCTTATTCATACATATTTTCTCTCTTTCACATGCCATAAGAGCTCTTAATCTAGGGGACTCTACTCCTGCTAAGCATTATTTAGTAAATTTGATTGGACATTTTTATGTTGTCAAAATCTTTAAATCTTGACTGGATAACACTTGTTATCACGTTCTTTATATTAAACACTATTTGTTCTTTCCGGTAGTCTTGCATTATTTCATACTTCTTCTGGTAACTGTCTGTCTAGCTGTTGTTTGTACACTTTTTCGCATCGAAATACACTTTTAACTTCCTACTCATGGATGAGGAGATTGTAAATCCATTTGCTCAAAGAGGTAGCTCTCAAGTCCAAAATAACCTGTCTGGAGAATTACAGAGCATCTAGCCTGCTTAACGGCTAAATGGAAAAAATCATTTGAAGTGGGCCAACTTATTCGCACTGTATTAAAAGGAAAAGGTAAACTCAATCACTTAACTAGTACTGGTCCAGCAGAAGGGGATCCACCTTTTACTGCATGGGACGAGGAAGACTCAATGGTTATGGCATGGCTATGGAACTCTATGATTTCAGAGATTAGTGATACTTGCATGTTTCTTAGCACTATAAAAGAAATTTGGGATGCAATAGAGAAAACTTATTCGAAGGCCAAAGATGTTGCCCAAGTTTATGATGTGAAGGTCAAAACAGTTGCCGCTAAGCAAGAAAATAAATCTGCTACCGAATATGCCAACCAATTGAAGTCTCTTTGGATGGAATTGGATCACTATAGAGTGATAAAAACTTATTGTGCAACAGACTTAGCAGTCCTTAAGGAGTTTATTGAACAAGATAGAGTCTATGAAATTCTTGTGGGATTAAATTCTGAATTTGATCCGATAAGAATTCAGATTCGAGGAAAGCCTCAAGTTCCTTCCTTAAATGAGGTTGTTACCATCGTAAGAAGTGAGGAGAGTAGAAGAAACTTAATCCTAGATACTCCATCCATTGGAAGATCATCCATGATGGTTGAGAATCTTAAAGGTGATGAACAAGCAAAGGTGGAAAAGAAGGGCGAATTATGGTGTACTTACTGTAACAAACTTCGACATACCCGTGAGAAGTGTTGGAAGTTGCATGGAAAACCTCCTAGTCGTGAAGAAGGGTAAAGAGGAAGCATTCCAAGAGGTGTATCTCACAAAAATACCAGGGCTTATGTTGCTGAAAAAGTTAAAGAAAATAAGGCAGAATCTTTCAATAATTTTGGATTAAACGGCCTTAACCATGAAAAAGAGATTGAAAAAATGAAGGCTTTCCTTAATAGCTTGGAGAAACCAAAAGGTACTTGTACTTTGGCGTATTCAGGTATGTTTCAAATTTTATTCAGGTTTAATGCCTCAAAAATACTCTCTACTTTCCTTTGGATCTTAGACTCAGGAGCTATAGACCATATGACACCTTCATCCACACACTTCTCCACATATCACCCTAGTCCTAGTAATAAGAAAATTTCCACTACTGATGGTACTCTAGCAACAATGGCTAGTTTGGAGACATTCAAATAACTCCTTCCATTGTCTTAAAAAATATCCTTCATGTTTCAAAATTATCCACGAACCTAGTCTCTATACAAAAACTTACTAAAGATTTATCTTGTATTGTAATTTTTCACAAGCATCATTGTATATTCCAGGACAAGGATTTAGGGAGGACGATTGGACATGCTAGAGAAGGGAATGGCCTTTACTATCTTGAAGAACCAAATCAGCTTGTTACCATAAAGAATCACTTGTCTTGCTCGCTAATGTCA